CCACACAATTACAATGCGAGTGAAGCTATATGGGGAAGCTAGTAGTGTAATAAAAATCAAACCCACAAATTTTATTAAATTACTAGCTGACCCGGCAAACTTTGTGTTGCCTTAAATAAGATTTCTGGGGAAATTTTAGTGTAGAAAAAAAAACCTCATTCAACCACATAATACCTCATTATAAACAAAAAAAATTATCAAAAAGAAAAATGTTTGGGGTGGACCCTTATCACTTAGGGGTATGAAAAATAGATAGTAACCGATTCTCAGACCTACTGAACATACTATTGATACACAAATAAAACCAAAAAAACATGGCTGAAAAATGTATAGTGAGTAAGACAGGAGACCGGCTTCGTCCTCATCCCCACTACGTGATGTTTGCTGGATGAGTGGTGACACCTGGCAGGGATACCTGATCGATTGATAGTTGATCAGTAGTCGACCGGCGAGGGCGGGAGATAAAACTGAATTTAAAAAAAAAACATAATTAAAGGAACTTGCAATTATTAACTCTGAATAAGAGTTTATCGTACTACAATTATAATATTTGATTGCCATCTTGCAACCTTATTGCGGATCTGTGCATACAATAAAAAAAATAAAAATCAGGATGGAAAAATAGAGGTAGATCGTCTAAGAGTGAAAATTGAGAGTAACATCATATTTTTTTTATTTTAAGTCATGACAAAATAAAAAAAATTCTTGCAAAAAAATTTCAAGTTTTTAATTAACAAATAAAAAATAAGGGTTGATCGTAGAAAGGTGAAAATTTAGGGTTGTATGTATGTATGCTGTATTATAAAAAAATAAAAACAAAAAAAAAATTCTAAAAAATTAATAAAAAAATTTAGGGGTGGAGGACCACCCTTTACATTTAGGAGGATGAAAAATAGATGTTGTGCGATTCTCAACCCAGGCCGATATGCACGCTAAGATTCACGAAAATCGGTCGAGCCGTTTCGGAGGAGTTCAATCACTCACACCATGACACGAGAATTTTATATATTAGATATAAGCGTATAAAGCCGCGGCGGGTAGCTCCGTCGAAGTCTTAAATGCATTGAATTTTGATTTTCCTACCCTTCAAACTGGAATACATTGTTCCTTTGTGTTGTGATGATAGAAAATTTATTGCTCTAGACGCGTGGGTTCCTAAAAGTTAACCTCCTACCAACTGATTACTGAAAAACCCAACAATCACAACATGGATGGTGGAGATAGAGGTCGAAGTCTTATTTGGTACTGGCGGTTGACTATTACAATACTGATAGTCATGTATACACTAGTGTGCTTACTGCGAGTTTTTTAACGTTCTCGATAGCGTCAAAGTTAGCCCAATTTTGTATGCAGTTGGAACAGCGCCCCTAGCGGCAAACGTAGGCAAACGATCCCATTCCATAAAAATATGAGCTAACTTTTACGCTATCGATAACGTTAAAAAACTCGCACTAAGCACACACACAGTACTCAGAACAGAAAACGCTGATGCGCAATATGCGATGAGACTTCGAGTCGCCTTTTAAAACACCCATGGGAAGAGACACGACAATTTTTACGAAGTCACCGTGGTCTACGGATCAGACGTCCGGTGCGATCGTATCAAGCGATGCAAGCAATGTAAATCGAAGATACTCTGCTTCAGTAGTTTTAAAATAATAAAAACACAAATTCTTCGTCTCTCAAATAAAATATGTATTTTCCAATAAATATTAAATACAATTCATCTAAGATCGTTCAAATAAATGCTCTATTAATACATAAGCAAGGTACAATTTAAAAAAAAAAAAACACCAAATACCAGATAAGCTAGCGTACCTCTTTTTGTAGCAACTCAAAAACAATTGCCATGTGAAAAATAATTAAGAATCATTAAATTAGAAAAAAAAATCCCATCCCTAATACACCTTCGCTTCGTTCAAATTGCACAGCTTCCCTTAGTCAAACGAGAATACGGACCGAAGTTTCCGATAATATTTACAAAAAAAAAACTTTATTTAATACCGCGTAATGCAAGATAATCTACAGCGGACGCGTCAGGCGTCACACTTGACGCGACCAATCAGAATCGCGTTCACGAAAGATCATCTTTTAATTTAACCAATGAATAATGGGTCTGTGGGTCGGGTTAAAATCACATTACGTACAACATTTTCCCGCTTCGGTAATGGTCGCCATTCCAAATTACTTGTTACACCAATACCCAGTTTAAGACGGTACTTTTTAACCAAGATAAATAATTTTTCCTAACTTACACTGAGATTACAATATCGAATTTTATTCGTTAACTTAACAAGTATTAGTTTTAAATAACTATCGTATTACAAATACACATCTTATGTTTGTGCCTAAGAAGCATTATTTTGAAAATCCGTTACATTTTAAAATTTTTGCGTACACAAAAAAAATCATAATAAAAATGAAATGCTACGCGATTGAATCCAATAGTTTATGTTTAAAAACTACAGAAAGTTTTAAAATATTTTGACAGCATTCCATTCTTAAGTAAAATCGAATAGGATTAATATTTTCATCAGATTTTCTTAAGATTTTCTTTTACAGAAATCTTACCTTAAAAATGTTGACATAAAAATCTATGATAAATTAGAATAAGTTACAATTTGAAAAGTACAAAAAAAAGTATATGTGCGTTGACGACTGTAACTTCTATGATTGTCTATGCCAATATTATTGGAGAATATTAAATTACTAACGGCTGGTAAATATACTCTTTTCGCCGGTTTTCTTCGATTGGAGCACAGAATCGCCGCTTTTTACCGTAGCTCAGATTGCCTAAGACAACCTGCATTTTGCAAAACGCTAACCAAACCCGTGACTAAAGGGGAAAAAAAGATAATTTTGTACCATATTCTTAGTGCTATTGTATCTACTTATGGAATTTAATTATTATTCGCCAACGTGTACTTAGGTATTTTAATTTAATAAGTAAATCATTCGATACTTGAATAACACATTGAACTATCATTAGGCACAGATTATACAGTCATCATTCACTACTAGGCATTGTTTGGACATGCGTTAGTTGTTAAAAGATGGCCATATATATTTCGTATATATCTGAATGATGGCCTTAAAAACTATAATTTATTTTTGCTTGTAAAAATATTAAATGTTTAATTAATATTCTCCGAATAAAGTAGATACTTTAAAATCACTGGGTTACATTACTGTTTGATATTCTTTATGCTTGACTGTGACGAATCCAAAGATTTGTTCTACATAATAATATATTTAACATCAATTAATTAGGATCAGTGGTAAAATATAGAACTGGTAATAAAATGACCAATGTAAGAATCAAATCAAAGATTTTCAATTCGATATCTAAATCAAAATTTGATTCTTAAAACAAAACAAAAATTGCTTCTTCGACAATCAAATTTTTCTTAACATAAAGTACATACATTTTTATTGACCCAACTAAAATTATTAGGGACATGCAAAGCTGAAAATAATGTTAACAATATTTTTAATATAAATTCCTGATATTTTACAGACATCAAAAAAATGATAACCTGTATTGACCGTATCGTACCAAGCAAGTATCTTTCACCAATATTTTTTATTGCATCTCATCCAAATAAATAAATAGAAAAACAAATTGATGTATCTAAGTCATTGTGGCTCTGTATTTTTATAGAAAATGTGATTTTATAGTAATGTACCCAATGTTCATTATGTTATATAGCTATTTTTTTTATTTTAATTGCTACATAGGTAGCTTATCTCATTCGATTTTTAAAGGGTACATATTTTTTAAGGATATATACATTATTTACTACAAAAATAGAGTTAAAAATTATTAAATTGCAATTTAATACTATAATGTTCATTATTAATCAATGTTACTGAACAAAATTACTCATTAAAATACACCTTCCTAGTAGTAGTCCTTCCCTTTAAAAGTTTTTCAATTTGTTTATGACCATTTGTAATAAAAAAAATACATACAAAAAATTTCAAGTAGAATTTTTATCCTATTTTACATATTATGTATATATGGAACTTAAGTACATCATATATAAGTGTATAGATTTCACTTTTTTAAGTATTCAAGTATCATGTGGAATATTTCCACCATTTTAAGTGTATAATGTATTATAGTCACTTTTCTTGATTGCAGAAACAATGCCACAAATTATTGCAAATATGGCCTTTATCTATTTTTTAGGCCAATTATTTAAAGCAATCTAATTCCACACTTGTGACCATAAAATCTAATCTAAATTGGAACAGATAATTTTTTTAATGTTTAAATCGAGATTTGTGCTCCATGATTGTCACATCTGTAAGTCATTTTGTTTTGTGAAGTCAAGTGTCAATAAACAAACAAAACACTGGCTTTGTTCTTAAGATATTATTGGTAACTATACATAATGACTAAGAGTTAAACTCTTTCAATTTTATATTGTCTGTAATCAACTGAAATCATATTACGTTCAATAGGCTGCTATATTTAAAACTTTCAAAATTGTAGTTTTTATTTCATATATTATTCAAGAGCCAAATTTTTTGTTTTTCCTTGGCTTATAGTTATTTATTATGAATCAAATTATCTGTGCTAAAATATAATATAAAAATATAATTTAAATAAATGTTTTATGTCCAATGTGTAGCAAGCATTTTGATTTTTACCTGTGGCAACACTGGAACTAATCTGTCAAACTCAAAACTATCGAAACTGTGGTGAGCTTAAATAATTGTTTATTCACTATAACATGAATAAGTACGTCCGTAAATAATAGTTTTTTGTTTTTTTTTTTTAATTAAACCCGTTTTTGAAAATTCTGACTTCCCAACTAAAATGTTCGGAATTGTATTCTAAAGTTGATTTTGAAATAATCTATATCATTTTGTCCAGTTAACAGATCGTTGGGTGTAGTAACCTTTTAACGACAATTCCAAATGTTTTTAATTCCTTTTGTTTTTTTTACCCACTTATTTCTTTCACAACTTAACATTAACTTAATTTCTGTTTGTTTTTTTTTTCTACATTCATCAACCAAATTATGGTGACACTATTAAATTCAATACTGCTAATGGACATACTAAGTATTTAAATATTACATCAAAAAACGAAAATACACTGAATTTGTTCACTGGTTTACACGTTATAACTTTTCAATTCATTGATGAAAGTTTTTTTTTTTTTTATAATACCATACATACGGCTTTTTATCCATTGTGTTTTTTTTTTTTTCAAATATTATTGACATTATATAATACAAACTGTAAAACAGATTTGTCAATGTGCGAACGTTTTGTGAAGTGTTATTATTTTGTATATTTTTTTTTATAGATTCATTTTCTCATGCAGACAAACTTTTGTCAATCAATAAATTATCAACTGTTTAATGTGACCTGAACTTCGCACATACTGTGTTCGAAAAATAAAAGGATATTTTCTCACTCAACATTTTTTCGTTTACATTATTTATGGCCATGTAAATTATCTATGGTCGCCTTACAAACGTATCCTTTCAATGCGAGTACGCCGCGACATTTTATGTGAACCTGGTACCGCGCGCACCAGTCCAGCGTCGCGCACGCCGTGCCACCGGCGGTTTGAGTTTTCGATGCGGCTTCCGATAATATATCTGTGGGAATGTTCATGAGTAAAAACGGGATGAATATAGCGAAATTCTGTATTTTAATTCACAATAACTTCGTACACACACGTCTTTCTAAAACCTTTCCTATCTTCCTACCTTCTCTAACCTTAAATTGCTATCTTTCTGAACCTAATAGAATGTTGCCACTGCAATAGGCTAAAACATTAAACATTAAGGCAATAATATATAGTACAGTACAGTGTGAACGTGTCCATAACAATGTATGGTGCGCGATATTGTGATGCTATGAGCTATATACTATTATACATATATTATTGCTTAGATAGATGGACGAGCTCACAGCCCACCTGGTGTTAAGTGGTTACTGAAGCCTATAGACATCTACAACGTAAATGCGCCACCCTCCTTGAAATAAAAGTTCGAAGGTCTCAAGTACGGCTGCCCCACCCTTCAAACCGAAACGCATTACTGCTTCACGGCAGAAATAGGCGGGGTGGTGGTACCTACCCGCGCGGACTCACAAGATGTCCTACCACCAGTAATTACGCAAATTATAATTTTGCGGGTTTCATTTTTATTACACGATGTTATTCCTTCACCGTGGAAGTCAATCGTGAACATTTGTTGAGTACGTATTTCATTAGAAAAATTGGTACCCGCCTGCGGGATTCGAACGCCGGCGCATCGCTCAACACGAATGAACCGGACGTCTTATCTTTTAGGCCACGACGACTTCAAAAGTACAGTACAGTGTGAACGTGTCCATAACAATGTATGATGCGCGATATTGTGGTGCTATGAGGTATATACTATGCTATTATATTATAGCGTAGATTGTAAGCAGCCTAAGCTTGCGATCACGTACTGGGCGGGTCGGCGTGTGTGAGCAGCTGGACGTCGTTGGCGCGGCAGAACGCGTGCAGGGCCGGCGGGACCACGCAGCACGAGGCCAGGTTGATCTGCGCGATGGCGGGGCGGACGCGGGACCACGCGTGCAGCACCCTCAGGCAGCCGCCACCCACGTCCGCCACGCCGAGCTGCTTCACGCGCCCTGAATGACAATTGAATTCGAAAATTAAATCAAATGTCAACAGATATTACAACTAGTCTGATTTGCGACAACCCTGGCTAAGTATCGAGAATAGGGGTGGCGGTAGTATTTTTTTTTTATTTTCTTATATTGATCAATGAATGAGATAACCGGTATCGCTTTGTGCTTAGTGCGGATTATTTAATTTCTCGATCACGTAAATCATCACTCAAATTTGTATGGAATTGGAACAGCGCCCTCCTAGCGCCAAATGTAGGAAAGCTGTTCCAATTCCATACAAATTTGAGTTAACTTTTACGCTATCGAGAAGTTAAAATACTCGCACTAAGCACACAGAAGCCATAGACAACGTATAGTGAATACCGACAGACATCCGTCTCGAGAAATCGCGAGTTCCAATTTAAAGGGTTTGGCGATTGGTTTTACTCTAATATAAAAGTTGCCTTATCTATGGTTTCCAATATCTATTTGGCACTAAGGTGGCCGTGAAATTATTTTGTCAACAGCTCTCTATCATATCGCGTTCGGTACCGGAAGCAGATAACGTGTTTTTTTTTTTATTTGTTTTAATCTTGATAATAAAATTGTGGTGGTGCACAACCACTGACATATATTCATTATCAGAATAAATACATAATTAATAACACACAATTATTAAAAACTTTTTACTAAACACCTGTTTTGGGCATCGACTTTTGTGCTCGCCGCGATTTCACTATTATAACATTTATCGACTAAAAACCCCTTTTTTTATTGCTTAGATGAGTGGACGAGCTCACAGCCCACCTGGTGTTAAGTGGTTACTGGAGCCCATAGACATCTACGACGTAAATGCGCCACCCACCATGAGATATCAGTTCTAAGGTCTCAAGTATAGTTACAGCGGCTGCCCCACCCTTCAAACCGAAACGCATTACTGCTTCACGGCAGAAATAGGCAGGGTGGTGGTACCTACCCGTGCGGACTCACAAGAGGTCCTACCACAGAAATTCGCCACTGCGATCAGTGGTGGGCTAAGCGCCTTACCGCTTATTCGATTAATCCTCTGCCACAGTGCGCTTCCTGCTTGAGACGGCCTAATTTCCCCTGGGGGATCCACTCCCGGTCTTGTTTCGGGCCTTGCCAAAACGCTCAGGCAATATTCTTTACAAAAAAAATACTGCGGTAGGACCTCTTGTGAGTCCGCGCGGGTAGGTACCACCACCCCGCCTATTTCTGCCGTGAAGCAGTAATGCGTTTCGGTTTAAAGGGCGGGGCAGCTGTTGTAACTACATTGAGACCTTAGAACTTATGTCTCAAGGTGGGTGGCGCATTTACGTTATAGATGGACGTCCATGAGCTCCAGTAACCACTTAACACCAGATGGGCTGTGAGCTCGTCCACCCATCTAAGCAAAAAAAAAAAAGATACTACTCACCTTCTTTCACATAGTCTTCTAAAACAGCCCACAGAACTTTGATTCCAGGTAATATAGCTTCACATTTTCTAGCATCCGCTTCACTGTCCGCCTCTATTTCCGTACTGGGTATTTTGGCTGGAAAATTGAATATATAAATGTAACTGTAAACAGGCAATGGTAGTGAATAGATTAGTAAGATTTTCTGGGGTTTTTTTAATGTAATCTGTGACCTTTAGAGTTAGAGATTAATAAATATTTTTTTCCCCATATTTCCTAGAAATATAGGTAAATTACAAGAAAAACGGGAAAACATAATACATAAAAGAGTCTCGAAGTATATTTTTTTGTTCATAATCTATACATTCGTTGAAATTTATTCGATCATTTTTTTATGCACGGTAACAGGGCCCAGGCAAAGGAGTTTACCGCTACTAATTTTTTTATGTGAAAAAGAGGTTTCTATTGCTTTGTATGACGATTGTTCCATCCCTTAGATCAGAACGCACGTCTGCTTTGGGGGAAAAAAACCTTCGTGGTGCTAGATTACCATGCGCGTTACCATTTTTTTTTCCTACCTATGCTGATAGCCTTGAGAGGCTATTTCAGCTTCTCCTTGACGTGTAGGTGAGCTCACGGGACTCTAACCGGGAGCATTGCTAACACTGACCCTAGCAAGAGCAGTGCTTCGCCGAATCTACCATCGCATCGGAAACGCGACCCACTGAGAAAATCCGGCGAGAAACTCAGTGGGCTGTGTCTATGGGAAAATTAAGCGTTACCATGCAAATTGGGTGTCGTGGCCGTCTAGAGTTACATTGCCATTGGAATCCGTTCTAACAAAACGTCATGTTGGTCGATCGTCCCGATCCACTCTCAGTGCTTTTAGGCATTCAAAGCACCGGTCATCGTTCTCGTCGAAGAGTTTGACGGACAACTTAACCCACAGTCGGTGGTAGATTCAGCGAAGCGCTGCTTTCGTTAGGGCCAGTATTAGCAACTCTCTCACTAGCTCCGTGAGGTCGCCTACCAAACCAGTCAAATTGTGGGAAGGTCCTTGAAGCTACAGGTGATTACGCAATAAAAAAATGCCAATAAAGTGCTATTAATACTGTATTCAAACTCACCGACGTTACTACCAAGCGATATAGGCGATGTTTTGGCTGAATAATTATTCCTCAGATCTGCTTCATTTCCGGCCTCCACTGTGTTCAAGAAATCCGGATTGTATGAGAGGATCACGTTGTCTATGTACTCCGTTTGTAAAGCTGTGAATACTAATTTAAAAAAAAAACAGCAATCAACATGGGCGCAGCGTTTTTCGGTGCGAAATTTTACAATTACACTCATAGGCCACAATAATAGCTCAGCGAGTGATGGTGCGAGTTGATATCCCAATTATGGAAGGTAGAAGTAAGAACCAATACTCCCGCCAATAACTCCAACATAACAATAGTTCCAACAACAACTTGCTATTTACAGGTGGGCACTTTTTTCACTTGTCCCCTATACAAGATGGTGCTCCTTGCTTCTACCCTCCAAAGACCGAATGGAAAATAACACCTCGTCAATATCACAATATTAAATGTCACTCGGTTTCGGCGGACGTGACGGGAATAAGTTTGACCACGGCTCATCGCACTAGTTGACATCGCGCGTTTAAACATAGCTAATGCTTTTTTAACATGTTACGAAACTGTAACGAATTTCTTTCTCAATCTGCAGTCTACTTGTTTGTCGCTAGATCGGTTCACAGAGAGATGAGCTCTACCTCTGTGGCATGAGAGCTCCGCGGAAGGCTTCGTCATATCGCTAATCATTAAACTAGACACATTAAGCATAACGCTATAGTCTAAGCGTAGTTATTTTAGTCTCTCTTTCTCTCTCTCACTATGTGTTTCCAGCACTGAAAATAGTAATCTAATCAGAGTTAATCGCTGGGACATCGTTGATTTTATATTTATTTAATCACTTAACATCTGTCTGTCCAATTAAGATTGTATGCCGTATACAAATACGTATCACTAAAAGCAAATCTATACTATATCAAATTCGAATATTCTAATCCATATACATCTACAACGTAAACGCGCCACTCATTTTGAGACATGAGTTTTAAGGTCTCAGTATAAGTTTCAGTCTCTCAGTAGACTTAAGGCGTCTCACGATGTCCCACCATATCTCTTTACTTAAGATCATCCTAATGCACTAACTTAGGAGACCTCCCCATGCAGCGGGATCTAAGCCATCATTGTAAGTAACGAACATCATATTACTCTACAAATTTATCCACACTTTATTAACATGTACTCATCATTCGCCACCTCCATGCTTGGCGTATCATTCATATAGAGTATCATCATATAGAGCTATGTACATAATCTAATCTTTAGGCAAATCAATTTCCTTATGTTCTACGATTGCTATTTACTAATCTGGGCCGCTTTATCACCGCTATCAATATATGATGTGTGATGATATGTTTTATTGTATATCTATACATATAAATAAAATTAGAGTCTGTTTGTAATATTGAAATAACCGGTTTTTACTACATGCATATGAATGTATATACGGTACATACACCATAATAGCATTTTTTACAATTTTTGTCTGTCTATCTGTCTGTCTGTCTGCTTGTTTGTTTCGGCTAATCTCTGGAACGGCTGGACCGATTTTGACGGGACTTTCACTGATAGGTAGATGATGATATAAGAAGTAACTTAGGCTTTACTTTTTTTTAGACTGGTTTCGCCCCGCGGCGTCGCCCGCGGTACGACGGGACATAACAACGCGGGACTCAGCTATAAATAATAAAATTTAATGTTTCCGAAGCGTAGCGAGGGCGGGTCGCTAGTTAGGAATATAAATTTAATTCATTTTGAGGCAATATGTGCTGATTATTGATCTGATAAGTTAGGTTAAGTTAGTTTTTTTTTTATGTGTAATTTAAAATGGATTCTTCACCGATGTGGTCTCCATTAAAACCAGGCTTAGGCCGGCTACCCATCGACGTATAGTTGGAATAGTCCCTTAGGCTACCAACGATTAAGTGGGGAGAACAAATTAAAAGCTATATAATCGATTTAGGGAATCTATTTATATTAATACTTGAAGCAAAAACTTTGTATCCCTTTTTACGAAAATTGCGCGGACGGAGGAGTATGAAATTTTCCACACTTATAGAGAATATAGAGAAGAACTGCACAATGCTAATATTTTTTTTTAAATAATGCATAAAAAATACATTAAATCAATAAAGAAAATATTACACACACTACATACCATGTATTTGACGCACACACGCATGCATACTATTTCGACTCATCCGCAGAACAAAGTCCGATGTGATCATAGAGCAAAAACGAGTTATATAGCTAGGCGAAATAAGGGATACGAACTCTACGGACGTGTGTTTTTGGAATTTTTGTATCTCATTTAGTTTCGGAAATATATAATTGAATAACGTTCTATCTGTCGTTAGCTCCGCATAAAAACGTACGGAGTGATCAAGNCCTCGCTGTTTTGCCATAAAACGTCTTATGTTAATATAGAACTCACTATCTCCAGAAATAAAAGAATAACAGTTATAAACTACACCGTATTTAACAAAGCTGAGACGTAGTAACAACATACCAAAAAATTTAAACAACAAGTCGCACCGTTTAAAAGTTACACAAGTCAACAACTTCTTTAACCTCTACTGAAAACTATCAATCCTACAGATAGGACTATATTCTGCGGATGAGTCGATTTATTGTCAAACTTTTGTTCTTGACGTCTGTTGCCAAATTGAGAATAGAATATGGTTTGTCTTTGTTAATATTTTTTATAGTGTAGTCTTGGTGAAATTTGTGATTATAGAAGTATAAAATACAATCATAATAGTGTACAAACTTACAATTCCAATTAATTATAGTCGAATTTCGACTACTGCGGGACCTCTAGTAATAACATAATACGCCCATTGAGAGCTAATTCAAATCCGCTAATAGAGCACATAATGCTCTTCTCAAGCACTCATCACCTTTATATGATGACCCGGCAGACTTCGTAGTGCGTCAATGAAATAAAACACCAAGTAAACTTTTATATAAAATAAACTTAAAACAAACAAAAGGAATCCGTCCGACGGGGGACACATGAAAGGGAAAACAAAATTGTTATTTTTATTTCATTCCGAGCATTTTCATATTTATCTACCTTTTAAACCTTCTCTGGACTTCCACAAATAATTCATGACCAAAATTAGCCATATCGATCGAGCTGCTCTCGAGTTTTAGCGAGACTAACGAACAGCAATTCATTTTTATATTTAGAGAAGATTCTAACAAGCTAACAGTTCCGCTGGAGATTATTTCTGAGGTGAGGAGTACTTTTGTTATTGAAAATGTAACTTGTTCGATACTATCTATCTTAACAACTAAGTGAAGGCAAAAACTTTCATCGATTTTCCGAAATTGTTATTGTTTGAAAACGATCTTAGATAGTCATTAGCGCAATTCAAGCCTTTGTTCTTTTTTTCTATGATACCTATAGCTACACACGTAGACACTTTTTTTTGTTTTTTTTTTTCCTATCTAAGCTGGTAGCCTTGAGAGGCTATTCCAGCGTAACCTTAACTAGTAGGTGACCTCACGGGGCTTAAACCTGACGACGTTGCTAACACGAACCCTAGCAAGAGCCGTGCTTCGCAGAATCTACCACCGGATCGGAAACGCGACCCACTGAGAAGATCCAGCGAGAAACTCAGTGGGCTGTGTCTGAGGTTACGTAGACAAATGAAGTTCGAATATACAGCCCTTTAAAGTTTTTGGCGGGTGTTGAAAGATAGACATTCCTTTTCTCGCGTATTGAACAATTGCTTATTGAACAATTTTAGGGTCTGAATGGTCCAATCTAAGGGTCGTAGAGCAAGACTGACATTTGTTAAAAAATGGTATTACTTAACTATTAAAAAAATGGTCAAAAATGTGAAGTTTGTTGTTACCGATAGTGGGGCGTGTTGTGAAATCGCACACCACAAATAGCGTATTTTCCGCTGCGAAACATTAATGCCAGTTTGTAATATAATCCATTTCAAAGGTATCCACCGTTTAACAGTGACATTTCCGACGTGAATTCCACGTTGTCTACGGGTGTCTACCCCATTCCAGGTGGGTCATGGCTCGTCTACAAGATGATCAAAATAAAATGCGTACTATTCCAACTCACCATTTTCAAGCGACTCCTTTAATGCAACCGTGCTGTCTTCATTGATGAAGATCTTGACGCCAATCTTCAGATTCTTTCTCTCCTCCTCGCTCATTTTGGTTTTGATATCATCATGAGGCCTTGTTATATATACATCGGTCTCAGCCGTGGAATCGACTAGGTTCGTTGAGTGAGAAGACCTTTCTGGAACTTCGTGGGACAACGCCGATCCATTCTGTAACGGCTTCCCGTTTTCCGTACTCCATTCGGATAGAGTTAATTTGATACTTTCTGAAAGCTAACGAATTAATTTATTTACCTAACTTGAATTTTAAACACAAATATTTATTTTAAATTTAAAATCCGCTAATTGACATCCCGATACTAGAAACATATTAATCTAATGAGTGAAGTTAATTTATACGATACGATTTTTCAATTGTTTTTTTTATTAATGCCCTTGTAGGCAGACGTGCACCCGGCCTACGTGATGGTGAGTGGTTACCACAGAAATAAATCATGTGGTTACCGTCGCCCGTTGTGAGTAGTATTGGTAAGAATGGAACAGACATCCTGATACTAGAAGCATATTAATCTAATGAGTGAAGTTAATTTATACGATACGATTTTTCAATTGTTTTTTTTATTGCCCTTGTAGGTAGACGTGCACACGGCCTACGTGATGGTGAGTGGTTACCACAGAAATAAATCATGTGGTTACCGTCGCCCGTTGTGAGTAGTATTGGTAAGAATGGAACAGACATCCTGATACTAGAAGCATATTAATCTAATGAGTGAAGTTAATTTATACGATACGATTTTTCAATTATTATTTTTATTGCCCTTGTAGGTAGACGTGCACACGGCCAACGTGATGGTGAGTGATTACCGTCGCCCATGGTGAGTAGTATTGGTAAGAATGGAATGGAATAAAGGAACAGAAGAAATTGGTAAGTGATTTTGTTTATTTTGGCCCCGACTGACGTCACACGTAATAATATAGGGCACGGTCCAGTTAGCACAATTATTAAAAATAATAAACGCCCGTCCTACATTAGAGATGCTTCATTTACTTAAAAAGCGTTCACTTTACAGGCTATTGCGATTTGGCCCGTTTACGCGATAATGTAACGTGCATCTTATAAATAATATATACGTGCATTAAAACCTTATTTACGATTCAATCTGTTGTTTTTTATTGTCATTATATTATTCCATATGTTATGAATACTTTAGTTTTCGTGATCACGAACGACTAAGGTTTTATACGTCGAAATTTGAATATTGTGCACAATTGCGCACTGCAGAAAAGTAATTTTAATTATGTACACTGCTCATGAAAACCTAAGAAAATACCAGAATCTTTCGTGTTTGCAACATATGAGCTTTATTCATAAAAAAAACGCGCTCGGAACCACTCCTCATCGAATTGTGATTCGATTTCGATCATAATTATATTATATTCGATCATAATAATCGATTAGTAAGTTTGGCCCTATCATCAGAGGCTCTATAGGCGTGGACAGGCTTTGATCAGATCAAGTGAATCACTCCAAACGGATCTCTGTTTGACCTCCTGTTTCCATGACATCGATTGCCTTTGAAAATTGCTCAGCGCTACCCAATCACTGCAGTTTACGTAGCCCACGTGGTCTACGGCCACACGATGCTCTTTAGACTTTCTTTAGAAATTCATGACTCAGTCATTCTTTTCATGACCTGACCAGATCACAGAAAGTGTTTCACTCTAATGGTTTTATTGTTTATCGCGTCAAAGATGGTGTAGAGTTCATAATTCAAATCAGAAAAATGTCGTTTCTGTCATACTAAAATTATCACCCTAGAGTTTATGCTACCCAGATAATGCATTATGCATAATGATCGTGTATAGTGTCATATTATCTATTGGTTAGCAACGTTTAAAATACCTACATCTAGCAATGGTATTAATCACTAATAACAGACTAAAACAAGGATATCGTTCAGTTCAAGGTTAGGTCTGGCAGAGCATAGCAATAAGGTGGCAATCGATTGAGAAGTTGAAGTCAAGGTCCCTATGAGTATCGAAATCTGCTTTTATATTTTAATTATGTAGATTAAAAGTATAAATTGAAATGTATAAGCACATTAAAATTATTATGATGATATTATGTTTTTCATTAATACGCAATTAAACAGAGTAGCACATAGATAAATAAACGATGCTATTCTGTGACTAATATATAATAGGTATTTGTTGGCATGAAGGAAATGTGCGTTTATTTATGAAAACCATAGGTTAAAGATCTATTTCAATATTACTGCATAAGTGAGTTATAAATTTTGAGTTTCTGCATTTCGGCTTGTGTCTCCACCACATATGTAACTCGATAATGACTGTGGATTTTTCTAGTAAAAAACAATAATCCATAAGTTACCCACTTGGGCTCAAATTTCTCTAGATCTTACATAAACATGAATCAATTACTTTAAAATAGAATCAATTACTTTAACATATTTTGTCAAATAATTTGTTACAAGATTGAAGGATATATTATTATATAGAGATATTTCATCAATGTTTTCAAACAATGGAATGAGTTTTATTTTAACAACATACATCAGGTTTCATATGAAGACGGCATCTACAGGTAGTGTTTTAATCTTCAATATGCCATTATTGATTAATTTTGGATTATGGAATAATTTTGAATTTTTTCCAGAACTGTTTCCTATGATAAATTCTTGAAATGAATGAATTCATTGAAGCTAATTTTTACTGCCTCAGTATAATAAACGTCGTTTCTTTTAATTTATAAAGTTCTAAATCTATACTTAATATTATAAAGAGGAAAGATTTGTTTGTTTGTTTGTTTCGAATAGGCTCCGAAACTACTGGACCGATTTGAAAAATTCTTTTTCCATTAGAAGCCGACATTGTCCCTGATGAACATAGGCTACTTTTTTAATTTTTTTTTAATTTTTTTTTTTTTGGTTTCATGTGTGTTTTAATGTTTCCGAAGCGAAGCGAGGGCGGGTCGCTAGTTAAAAATAAATAAATAATGAAGTAGATAGTATCCCTTTTAATTCAACACTTAATAATATTTTTTTGCTTTTTCTTGATTGTTTAGGCAGCAGCATTTGTGATTATTGACACTTCCAAGATTATATAGAGTAATTCCTTGAAGTTACAGCTAACAATACCCAGACAGGTTTGGCAGAAAATCCTAATGCCATCTTATGGGTCAAGATTTATTTAGAATAAGTATGTATTCTTCAGCTCCCCAGGAACTGGTTATTGCGATAGCAGTTTGGTATATTGAACAATTCATTTTTCACAACCAATTCATTGACCCATTGTGATTGACTTTAAGAAGTCTATATTGGATCCATTATCATTCTATCCAACTTTTTCTTTCATTTTGGACTGTTCAGGACTCATTACTTAAATGCTTAGAAGCTAAAAATTTGAACCAAAATGGAGTAAACTCAGTTACTACCGCCATCCATAACTTTTGTCTTTACAATCCATTGTGCCATTTGATCCTGCCTTTGACTACTCAGATAGCATCATAGACAATGGAATCAAGAGTGGTGCAGATCCAGTCAGACTAATGCATTTTATATGTAGGTATCAAATATATTTTGGATAAATAAGAACTGTATTAAAAAAAAAAAATTGGGATTTTTTAACTGATCTACTTCTTGAGCATTCTCACAACAGGGATTTTTTAACTGATTTACTTCTTGAGCATTCTCACAACATAAAGGATGTTAAATGTTCATGTATTTAGTTCTGATATTGATTGATCTGATTTATGACTTAAGTAAGTAGGGGTGATCTTTTTTTTTTTTTATTGCTTAGATGGTTGGACGAGCTTACAGCCCACCTGGTGTTAAGTGGTTACTGGAGCCCATAGACATCCACAACGTAAATGCGCCACCCACCTTGAGGTACAAGTTCTAAGGTCTCAAGTATAGTAAAGTAACGACGGCTGCCCCACCCTTCAAACCGAAACGCATTACTGCTTCACGGTAGAAATAGGCAGGGTGGTGGTACCCACCCGCGCGGACTCATAAGTGTTCCTACCACCAGTATTATGCCTGATCACAGAATTATGCCTGAGTATCTTTATCCCAACTTGCTATTTATTATTGGCAATGGACAGAAATTGTAGACATATTTTACTGATTTTTTTAAAGTATTTAATGTTGCTCAGAGAGTGTGTTAAATCCTAACAATTTAACACACATAAATTAATGTTTTCGATACATAAACATTGAACCAGTATATTTTTAAATAGTAGTTGCTAATCATAAAAACAAACCAATATAAAAAAGATATGTTTTTATACTATACTAACCTCCTCAGTCACATTTTGCCCAGCTTTTTTCTTAATGTCAATCAAATTCAAGACATTTCCAGTATTTATCGTCACTTTAGAAGCACTCTGTAACATCGCGGCCATCTAGTTATTAACTTTTAAATTGTATCTACAGACCCTTTTAAATAACCAAGGTTATCGAAGAACGCAAACAACAAATATTACGGTCAAAATCGACGTCAAATTTAATTGAACTGTTATCGTCAACGCTGACCAAGTCCGTACTAGAAGTTTTCAAGGAAACTCATAGTTTTATACCTCAATCAGCTGTGGTTAAAGTAGATATGACGTATTTATTATTCAAGATTGTGACGAAATCGTTAAATCGCTGTTGATTTAATACTTAGTTAATATTCTGTACTACATGATGATAAAGTAATATGTATAGTTTTTTTATTCATAGTGATTCCGTAAGTTTTACGGTAATCGTTTTACAAAACCATAGCACATGAAATTTGCAGAAGCTTGGGTACTGAAACGTCAAGTCATCAATGAATGATTAATGAATGACTAATCATCTTTCATCTTTATTTAATTCATTAAGGTAGTAGGTATGTGTGTACCTGTTTAACTCATTTACTTTTGATTGACATTTGACGGTTTTAGGCCTACATACACTTGGCTGAATTCAGACGACTGAATTCAGTCGCTACTGTATTCAGTCAAGTGTAACAGCATTAAGTAAGTTAGTCTACTGAACTCAGTAGCAAGGATGGTTTCTGACTGACTGAATCATTTAGAAGCATAATTAGAAACGCATTTAGGAAGGTGTAATCGCATTTAGTTCCTGAATAGTTTCATTCAGTCGTCCCATAGCTCTCCGTGCGTAAGGACGTTTTTTGCTTCCGAATAAAAAGTATTAATTTCGGTCGCCTTTATTTAATGTGCCAGACATTTATAAATAGCTCGACATGTTTCAGGGATAGTTTTTGTCATCAGGGGTTGGGATATTGAAGAACTAAGTTTTAAATCTTGATACGAATTTCTTGTTGCAAGAAGTCTTAATGTTACAACCTATCTTTCTTTTGGACTTATACTATCGTAGGATTAAATGTAATAGTTATTTAAGGTAGATATATAACAGACTATCGTAGGATAGTATCCTTCTTTTGAATAAACTTTGTCACAAGGTTTAATATTAGGTCAAACTTTTTTTTCCCTACCTATGCTGATAGCCTTGAGAGGCTATTTCAGCTCACCCTGACGTTTGTAGGTGAGCTGGCGGGGCTCAAATCGGAGAGTTGCTAACACTGACCCTAGCAAGAGCAGTGTTTCGCAGAATCTACCACCGGATCGGAAACACGACCCACTGAGAAGATCCGGCGAGAAACTCATTGGGCTGTGTTTATGGATTAATTCACTCGTCGAGCCCTTCGTCGCAAGCGACGGGTTCGACGAGGACGGTGACTGGAAGTTCTTTTAGTTGAGGGTGTTTGCACTCCAAAGAATAAAGTAATTTATGGGCTGCATTCTCGTAACATTTTACTCTCTTTCTACACTACAATCTGTCTACATTACAATCAATACTGTTTAGTAAACGTTCACAAATAAGGAAATAAAAAAAATTGGATATGGCTTTATTGGAACTGGATATGGAAAATATTAAGTCGATTGAAGTTTCACTAAAATCAAATTTAACTGAGAAGCTTTTTCATTTCATTCTATTTTATCTCATCTTCTATAATTTGATTTCACTTCATTAAATTTCATTTCAAAATATATTTTTAGATGAATCAAAATTATTCCTTCATCGTTTTATCCTACTGTAATAAAGCTTTTGGCTGTTTGCATTATTTTTTCTTTGCCCATATAGATTTAATCGAAAAATCGAAAATGTGAGAGACCGAAAAGTTGATAAACTTTCCGATATCGTTAGACTTTGAGATCTAGAAAATTTAAAACAATTAATATCTAACTCACTTTAAAATCAGTGTAAATTGAAAATAATTTTAACCATGGGTTTAGATATTATAGGATTCGCATACGCAGCAACCGTAGCCGCTGGTGGAGTAATGGGCTATGCTAAAGCAGGTTAGATTACTTTGTAATTATCTAAAATGTACTTATTTTCTTAAATATTCCAATTAGTCCATAAATGTTAATTTCTAAACTAGATTGTTACGTTTAGTGTTTCTTTTAAAAAGCACTGACACTTAAAATTAATAAAAAAAAAGGAATATGTACTAGTGATACCTATATCATTTTTCTTCATACAAATATTAAGTAGGTACACTTGATATAATAAAAATCAAATCGTTGTTTTTTAAAGATATAATTATTACCTAATAAAGTAAAATTTTTTAGAACAAATGTTGTCTGGTTAAAGATGTTAAATCACCAACCGAAAACTCAAAACTAAATTCTTGATTTATAGTTAATTCATTTGATTAAGACTACTTTGGAAGCTATTTGAGCAACAGGCTCGGCAAAATCAATGAAGAGAAGGAGCCAAGTATCAGACAAGTCTCAATTATGTCATTTTCATATGTATATACATAGAAATAGGGAAAGATTTTTTTCTTTTATTCCACTTTTAAATTCAAGTTCCCACACAAATCAAGTTAAAATCAAGGCTAAGAAATTTGTATATAAGATTTATAACAAACAAAAAAAAACATACTTTACAAAGTGAGATCCGAAGCGAAGGATTGGTAATCAATGGTAGTGGATTTTTGGTGGAAGCTTAAAATTAAATAGACTGTCTTTCCTTTGACGGGAATAAATTGAATTTTCCTGCTTATTATCTTTTTGCTGCTGCCCCAATGTCTACTAAAATGTTCTAAAAAATCTAGAGAATTTTAATTGCCACAAACTACATACATTATAGACATTTATTTTTAATTTGGACCAACTTTATTAATTATACATTAAACAAACCATATTCCCACTTAATGATAAGTAATGTGAGATGCTCAGACTCATGCTATACTTCAGGTCCCTTGGCTATTAACTAACTTGAATTTAATAAAATTTTATAAAAAATATTTCAGGCTCCATACCATCACTTGGAGCAGGCATCATCTTTGGATCAATCTTAGGTATGTTTTTAATAATATATTGTATACAAGCAAGTGCCTCAACAGACAACAGATGCAACAACTGAAAATTAATTGTATTTGTTTTACTGGATTAGCTGCCAAAATTTTGATTAGTAATTGTTTCTTTTAAATAAACGTTAAAGGGTTCATAAATATTTTGAAGGTGTTGGAGCTTATCAGTTGAGCCAGGATCCTTCTAACTACACTTTAACATTAGGAACAACAACAGCTTTAGGTGGCCTTATGGGATACAGGTAATTACAATTAATACTGTAATTAGTAAAATATAATTTCCTTACAGTAGTCATTATAATTATGTGCCTTAGAATCTTAATGATTTAAAAAACTCTTCCATAGTGACTGGAACACATGATTGCTTCCCAGCAAAATAGTTACTGATTGTAGGACCTCTTGTGAGACCGCATGGGTAGGTACCACCACACTGCCTATTTCCGCCGTAAAGCAGTAATTCGTTTCGGTTTGAAGGGTGGGGCAGCCGTTGTAACTATACTTGAGATCTTAGAACTTATATCTCAAGGTGGGTGGCGCATTTACCTTGTGGATGTCTATGGGCTCAAGTAACCACTTAACACCAGGTGGGCTGTGAGCTCGTCCACCCATCTAAGCAATAAAAAAAAAAAGAATGTATTTGTATGATTTCATTTCAGATACTACAATAGCAGAAAGTTCATGCCAGCAGGTCTAATGTTCTGTCTCTCAGTCGGAATGTTCACTAAACTCTTGCTCAAGAACGTTGGTGCCAGCAGAATGCCTATAAAGAGTGGTTAGACTTAACTTATATATGTACACTGTAGCAATTTTTGTTTTTATTTCGGTATTGGTTTAATATAGAATTTTTTGTTGTTGAAATCATGTTTTTTAGTTATTAATTTGCTCTGAACGGTATGAAAAATAAATCTGAAAGTTTTACCACTATCAAATTTGTTGATGAATTTTTAATTTTAAATAAGTGCAAATTAGGTATAACATCCAATAGAATTGATCAGAGCAGTGTTATATTTGTTTTAGCTTGTTGTTTGTTTTTAAAATATTAGAATACCATGTAGATGTACGTAATAAAAAGCTATTAAATATTTCTGTTAAATTCGCTTCAGTCTTGACCGAATGGACAATTGATAACTATAACTTATTGTGTTCAAATGCATTTTTACATTATATTATACTTAATCTGTTATATTATGATAAACTTATGTTTGTATGAGTTGCCATTTTCAAATTGACAATATCATTAAACGGTGTTGGGAAGAATTTTTTGTTTTTATATTTAAAAGGACCTAAGTTCTAATATAATTTTTACATCTGCTAATATTAGAAATGTTAGTTTGTTTGTCTGGGTTTTAGTAACAGTTACTTAACACAGCAGTAGGCAGCGGCTTGGCTGGCATTGTTGATGTCCATAATCAACAATGACTGCTTCTCATCTAGTGAGTGTATGCTCGTTTGCCTAAAATATTAAAAAAACATTTCGCTTTTATAGGCGATTGAAACTTTTCTTCATCACTCAAAGTGAGCTAGTACATTTAAGAGAAATGATAAACGTGAATGTATACCCATTATACCATCGAATCATTACACCGAGGTAAGTGAAAGAAGGCCCAGAGACAAAAGTCCAATGCGCTGGTCGGTCCAGATACGCTATACTGCACACAGCCGAGGATAGGCAGGATCGGCGCAGGATAATCCAGGCGAAAATTATTAAAGGAGACTACGGTCCTTAGCATTGAGGATTATTATTAGGATTATTATTTTCACTGGTGGTAGGACCTCTTGGGAGTCCGCACGGGTAGGTACCACCACCCCGCTTATTTCCGCCGTGAAGCAGTAATGCGTTTCGGTTCGAAGGGTGGGGTAGCCGTTGTAACTATACTGAGACCTTAGAACTTATATCTCGAGGTGGGTGGCGCATTTACGTTGTAGATGTCTATGGGCTCCAGTAACCACTCAACACCAGGTGGGCTGTGAGCTCGCTCATCCACCTAAGCAATAAAAAAAAAAAGAATTGATGCAATGAGGAGGATACCATCGCACCACTCTCAACCGCAGCGGAGTTCATACACAGTCCGTTTCCAAATATCTTATTTACCACGAACCAGTTGCTCCTAAGCGTATCGTGTTGTTCCTATTATTTTTTTTTGCTTAAATGGGTGGACGAGTTCACAGCCCACCTGGTGTTAAGTGGTTACTGGAGCCCATAGACATTTACAAGGTTAATGCGCCATCCGCCTTAAGATATATGTTCTAAGGTCTCAGTATAGTTACAACGCTGCCCCACCCTTCAAATCGAAACGCATTATTGCTTCAGGGCAGATATAGGCGGGTACCTACCCGTGCGGACTCACAAGAGGTCCTACCACCAGTACTTACGCTAATTATAATTTTGCAGGCTTCATTTTAATGACACGATGTTATTCCTTCACCGTGGAAGTGAATCGTGAACATTTGTTGAGTACGTATTTCATTAGAAAAATTGGTACCCGCCTGGAATTCGAACCCCGGTGCATCGCTCAACACGAATGCACCGGACGTCTTAACCTTTAGGCCACGACGACTAAAAGACTTCTTGTCAATCATAATTTTTCATGAAAAATACTTTGGGTTCTCAATCATCATCAGCCCACAGACGTCCACAGCCGGGCGTGGGCCTCCCCCAAGGTTCGCTACAAGGACCTCATGGGTGGGCTACTCAAAATTTATTTACAGGTTACGGTCGCCGAAGAATTTTAGTTTTCAACAGTGAAATAAAACAACAGTCTCGTAATAATGTAAAATTGATAATTTTGGATATTTAAATTTTTACATTTCTTAAAATTTAGACAATAATTGGATGGAGTCAAGGTATAATAATATATAAATAGTTATCATAAATACTTAGCATTCCAACGGCAAGTGTGTTCGTATTTTAACTTTGTAACATTTTCTTTTTTCTCGAAAAATAATATCGTAAATATTTATATTAAATTAAGTATTTTATACATTGGTAACTTTACAGATCTAAAATGTCACATAAATAGTGTTAAGACATAAAAAAAAAACAGGCTTAATTTTATTTTTAAAAATATATCTTTTATTCGTTTGTAAAAATTTTATATGTACCTAATAAAATCTAAGTTTGTTCAGAAAACCGCGAACCAGTCGCTCGGGAGTTTGAAAACTACAAAATTTTAAAAGTAAAACTATTTTATATTCTAAGTTACTGAATAAAAGGCACTTCCTGGCAGTTTCGTATTCAAAATATTGTAATATTTCATAGGTAACGTGCAACATCAACTAATAATTATTCAAATTAAACCTTGGATTCTTGGATAAGCTAAACTGAATGAGCATTTTTATTTACATTGACAACCCTTGATTATTGACCCTGTAAAGTATTTATGTACTACCCACATTTAATACACAGCTCACGAAAACAAAAAAAAATACTGACAATTCTGCCGCGCAGTGCATAGAAAAAATAGAAATGTCCTTTATTTTGTGTAGCTTGTGCTTAAAATGGTCAATTTTTATATTAGATAATGTTGCACGCATAACGTTTTAGGCCCGATGCTAAAAAAACAGTTTAGTCTTTAGATTTCTTTTTCACTGAATAATGTAGATTACAGAATCTCTTGGATATGAACTGAACTAAACATGCTCATAATAAGACATATTGATTGTTTTTTTTTTTTGTTAATATTTTTGCATCAAACCCTTTTTAGCACCGAGACCATCTGTCATTAATAAGAACAAAATAAATTTAGGAGTATTTTTATAATGTTAAAAAAAAAACAACAGACTGACATCGCACTAGTAATTCTAAAGAGAGCTCAAAATGGACGTAAAGAAAACTATTCGCCGCCTTCGTGTATTTAAATTCAACTAGTTCTATCTCTGTCACTCGTCATCAAATCGTGATAAGCCAGAGAGAGATAAACTAGGCTGATTATTGAACTGTCGCGTAAATGAAGGCAAAACAGTCCTTGTCAACGCTTAGCCTTTACCATATTTCTTGTCTCATCTCTTATTTGATATGACTATCTAAATTTGCTGATACCACATACCCTGCTGATCAAGCAAGCTAGACGTGAATACGACAAACAAAATTCGAAATACCATTAATATTTTTCGTTCTTGCCTCCCATGCGTCCATTCTAAGCCCTAAGCTAGAAATCCCTAAATTAACCTACAATAGTTCATAAAACTCAATCACATTGCAATATCACTCACCTAGTGTCCGACACTTTAGAAGCACTGTCTTCAGACACTCACACTACACCCGTTTTCACTACTAATAAAAACAAGCAAAGGAAAAATAAGATCTGCTTGTGTTTATTTATTAATCAATAAACGTATTCCGATGCATTAACGGTATATTCTATACGTAAACGTTTGAGCCGGACGGCTTCCCTTCGGCCGGTGACGTCACGGAGGATCACGTCACACGACAAGAAGGGCGTCGCTTCATCTCAGCTGGGCAGTCTTCAGTAAATGATCCGCGCGTTATCATTAATGGCGGCTGCTGTGGAAATTGTAAATGTCTTAGAATAATATATTTATATACAACGAATTTTGTTGCTTTGGCAGGATGAGATAATCATTTTTAAATAATCTCTTTTAAGTGGTCACGATCGGTAGGTAATTTATTTTATTGTGAATCTTCATTATGGCACTATTTTATTCTTAAAACATACAGGATATTTAAATTCTGAAATATAATTAAAATATATTTTTTGACAATAAAATGGCGAAGATATTACTAAAACCCTTAAAGACACTAGGACATACTTACGTTAAAACCACTTGACGAATACATTCAAGAAAAATATATTTTACAAAAGACTTAAATACTAAACATATTTCTTTATATCTAAGGTTATTACATATGGAGAAACGAGTTAAGTTTAATCAAACCAATATAAGTATAGCTGAAAGAAAATAAGAGTTTATATATTTATGGTGAGGTGTGATTGTAAGTTGAATCTGGATAAAATACAAGAGCACCGGGACTTGTGATGTCTTCGTCTCATTACGGTCTTTGGAGTGTAATCTTTGTGGTTAATGGAGCGCGTATCAGACCTCATCATAAAAAAAATAAACCGAAACAGAGCAGTGTGCTTAGTGCGAGTTTCTTAACGTTCTCGATAGCGTAAAAGTTAAGCCAATTTTGTATGCAGCTGGAACAGCGCCCCTAGCGGCAAACGTACGCAAACGGTCCCGTTCCATAATATAAATGAGTCGACTATTATCAAAGCCGGCAATGTGACTTTTGGACAATTATTAGTAAATCAGAAAAACGAATTATCGATTTTGTATTCCATTGGCAGTCACAAAACTCTTCTGAACGACATCTTAGATAAATAACAGGTTAAGTATTAATGCAGGTTTATTTAATGCAGGTTTTGAACTGTATTCTTTGAAGGAGACGATTATATTCAAATCAATCTGTATCGACATATCAATAACATTTTTTGTCCAAATGCACAGATTGCCACCTTTGATAACAGACGACTCAAATATGAGCTAACTTTTACGCTATCGAGAACGTTAAAAAACTCGCACTAAGCACACAGGTAGGTACCGAAATATGTATGTAGATTTATGTGTTATGCGGAAGATCGTATGTGTGAATGAGTATCGCTAGATGATCGTCCTTGATGGCGTGAATGACTCCAAATCCAACCCTTTTTTGCCCTTACCGATAATCGTTTTTGGCTTACAGCCTCGCTAATTCGCCGGCGGTGAGGTTCCTTTGATACGAGAGCACCAGTCGCGCCGGTTCGATTTGTACTTGTTGCGAATTCGCGTCCGGACGTATTGAGTTATCGCTCGACTTTTGCGAGTAGTACGTTCCGAATTTGAAGACAGACTTCACCGCTTTATCCTGGTAGCTTTTCGTTGTCGAACGTCCAAAGTAATTGTCGAATTCGTCTCTATTGTAGAAACCCCTTTTGCTGGTGTCCTCGGCTTTGGGCGGAGGCGTTGCGAAATCTTTGAAGTCGTAAGGATTCTTCGTGGACGTTATGGAGTATTTGTTTATTGACGGTGGGTAGGTGTTCGGCTTCTGTGTGTAGTATTCGTATGGCTTCGACGTCTTGTCAAAGTACGACTGTTTCCTAGTCGACAAGTAGTATTTGAAGGCGTCCTCGGTTGTGGGACTAGGTCCGCTCGTTGGCTTGTAGTTTGTGTATTGACTAGGTGTGTTACTTGGCGCGAATGCTTGTGTGGTCGCTTCGTGGCTGTGTCGTGTGAGAAACATAATTAGTTTGTGTGCAAAAATATTGAATTTTATGAGGATGTGTGTGTGTCCTCGCTGCTCGTGTCAGCCATGCGATGTAGCATTAAGCAGTTGATGTTGCGTGGTGGATGCAAAGATCGCGATTTTGATACATCCTGATAAAGTTCAGTACAGTAGATTGGGGGGAATAGGGACTAGAGGTAGAATAGAGACAATTCTTGGATGTCACAATACTTTTGTTGAGTTGTTAGATTTAACTTTGTTCAACAGAAAATGACTTTTATTTTGTGTTTAAGAATATTAAATAATTTAATTTAGTCATCAAAGTTTTGGAACTCGTTAAATATATTAAAAAGCTAATTACCTAAAGTTTGGTACCTACCTAACAACTAAATAATGCCAGTCCTATCGAAAAATTCTATTGACCCCTTAAGCGACCCGATTCATCCATCAACGCCTGGGTGAGACAAGTGAGTTTTTGTAACTTTTTATGATTATTCTTTAATAAACTATATCTTAATGCATTATAAATGAAAATTTAAACTAGCGGAACCATTATGATCTCTGTTTTATTACTATAACTACAAAAAAAACCGATAAAAATCAATGTCGAACTTAAAAAGTGTCCCGATTCCCCCCATTTTACGGTATCTAAAAATCGTTCGATACTGTAATTCTGAGAGATCTACAGTCCAATATCGCTTGTGGGCTGCAAACGATCACTGAAGCTTTTCCATTCAAATTTTAAAGACTAATGTCGCATCACACGCAGTAATATGATGCGGGGATGAATAATTAATAATGAAATATATATTATTAAATGAATTATATTTTGCAATAACAAAACAATTTTAAACTGTCACAGTGATTAGTTTACTTTTGACCTGTTTCATCTCTTGGATACCTACATTAATTCAAATGTTAACTATATTCTTCAAAACTTTGTAGAAACTATGGAGGGTAGAGGTAAGGAGAACCGTCTCATATGGGAGAAGCTTGAAAAAGTGTCCCACTTTCAGCACTAAATAACAGTTCAAAAATCCTCCAGAATGGCGCTAGCATAGGTACAGGGTATGATATGAATTGGGCAGTTGTTAATTGATTGAAGTATGCTGAGTTAGGAAATTTAATATATTTTATGACTAGAGTAGTTAGACAGTGTAATATATAAGACCTCACATGTTTATGTAGTCCAAACTAATTATCGTCAATATAACCTAAAATTATTGCTGTGATAAAATGTGGAGACATCGATTGCATTTTCTTGTCAGCTTTAAATAAAATACTTTTTGTGATTTTGTAGTGCTTAGTTCTTTCGTCCTTTTTTATTTCTCTATCTTATTCTAATAACTTTCAGCGCCTTTTTTTAAATTTACCCGGTAGCTACTGTAGCGCCACCCTTATTTAGCAGATTTTAACGGACACTTTTTACACACAGAGACGGTTCTCCTTACCTCTACCCTCCATATTAGAAACTAATCGAATTATAGTTTTTTTTTTAAACTACTTTTTTAAATACATTACCTAGTAATATTCGCGTAGAATGGACTCGTCTCGGGACGAACGTAGCTGGGCGTGTGCTGAGAATAATCCGGAATGATATTCTCGTGTTCAGTTATACACTGGCCGTTGATGCAGTACTGAAATAAAAACGAGGGTAGTTTATTAGTTGTCGTGTATTTTAAGATAGATTTTTGGTGAATCCAAATAGTTTACTAATTTGTAGCGTGCAACATTGGCACATCCAGTAGCGCTCGGGCGTCATCGGGTGCAATCGGAATTCCCGAACCTGCAGGTTTTTTAATTCATTTTTTATTGCATAGATGCCTGGACGAACTCACAGCCCACCTGGTGTTAAGTGGTTACTGGAGCCCATAGAAATCTACAACATAAATGCCGCCACCCACCTCGAGATATGAGTTCTAAGGTATCACTCAGTATAGTTACAACGGCTGCCCCACCCTTCAAACTGAAACGCATTATTGCTTCACGGCAGAAATAGGCAGGGAGGTGGTACCTACCGGTACGGACTCACAAGATGTCCTACCACCAGTAGAATTTTAGAAGTGGCATTTAGAAATGGTATTGGGCAGGCCATATAGCGGCGAAATATCGGGCGACATATGGGTCCACCCATCCATGCAATAAAAAAAATAATAGAAGCAAAACTCTTCGTCACACGCGTCTTACAATCGAACTTACGACCATCGGCTCGGCAGTCAGCGGCGCTGATTGAGTCAGTCAAGTCGACTGTCACTGACTTTGACTGGATCTGAAAGGGACAGCAATAGTGTTGTCGCGCGTACCTGTCCGTCTCCGCAAGGCGAGCCCTCGGCGGCGGGCCGGTACGCCACGCAGTACCCGCTACCCGCGTCGAAACAGAACAGCTGAGCGCACACTCGCTCATCCTTGAAACACGCACTGGAAAAGAAAAGTAGGCACGGCGTCACGACGGTTTTTTTTAAAGGTATTTTGTGACCTGGTTACTAAGACCTTTAAGTCATGTCTTATTTTAATTCATATTCTTTTTTTTATGAAAAATGATAATATGGAGTGAAATGAAATTAAATGAAATGAGATAAGATGATATGGGATGAAATGTAATCTCAGTAAAATGGTGGTCATATACTGAGATTTTTTCAGTGGACTTTTTGGAGGATCCCGAGAAGCTACGTCCAGTGGCTTTGTTTCGTTTTTCCACATTTGTGCACTTTCACAGATATTAAACAGTTAATAAACCATCGTTATTACATATTTAAACCTGAAGAAACACTGAATAGACAAAATAAAACAAATCACACAACTTCACTCCTCGCGTTCCCGCCAAAAAATCCACGACGGTCTGTGATCTTTTTATTGTTCTCTACCCACATTTTAAGTTTTCACACACACAAAGTTAATGCCGTCAACGTGACGTGCGATCGATGTCGGCAGATCCGCCATTTACATTGGAATGAATACATGACTGGTCATTATGATATCATTAATGTAGCGAGACTGTAAACCCATTTGCCATTGACTGTGTAAACAAATCTTGGAGGTCGATGTAAACTGGTTTAGTGGTAGTGACATGGCAGGGCGATGGCATCAATCCGTGCCAACACAAAAACAATGAAATATATTAAATTCGATCCGATAACAAAGGTGTTGCGGGAAGGAACAAGAAAATGTGTCTGTTTTAGTAAGTTCCTATCGATAACCTCAAAGTATGCTCTAATTGTGTTTCCCACGGAACCTTTCGCTTCAGTTCATTTGGATTGTGTTACATTGCGTACAGTGAATGAAACTGAATTTTTCGCAATTTTTATACCTCCGATGATATTATTAACTACGAGAATATATTTAAATGGACCTTGAAGCTGTTTTGGAAGGTAATGTGACACCATATTATTATATTTACACAAAAATGTATTTACATACATGTATAATGCGATATATTATAATATAAGGCAACTAAAATAAAATAAAAATACACATGAGCTTTTACGCAAATTAGTAGACTTTTGTCAAAGGGTAACACTAGTTTTAATTATAACATGAATATGACTTTTTGGCGGGAACGCGAGGAGTGAAGTTGTGTGATTTGTTTTATTTTGTATATTTAGTGTTTCTTCAGGTTTAAATGTGTAATAACGGTGGTTTATTAACTGTTCAATATCTGTGAAAGTGCACAAACGTGGAAAAATGAAACAAAGCCGCTGGACGTAATTTCTCGGCACCCTCCGAAAATTCCTCTGAAAAAATCTCAGTAAATGACCACCATTTTACTGAGATTATACATCATGCTATATCATTTCATTGAATTTCATCCCAGTTGATCACAAATTAATCATCTTCATTTCATTTCAATCCATATTATTATTTTTCATAAAAATTAGATTAAAAATTAAAATAAGATATGACTTAAAGGTCTTAGTTACCAGGTCACAAAAACACTTAAAAAATTATTATTATTACATGCTTAAAGAAAAACAAGCTGAGCATACCTGGTGCCTCTGTCCTTCCGGCACTGAGCGTCCAGGGTCAGGAGACGACCAGGCAACACTCGCGGCAAAGAGTCATCTTCATGCGGAGAGTTGTATAGGCAAGTCGCTGTGTCCCCACTGGAAGATGAAAAACGCGATTTAAATAAAATCAAATAATAATTGTGCTTTTTTATTGCTTCAATAGGTGGATGACCTCTCGGTCCATCTGGTGTTAAGTGGTTACTGGAGTCCATAGATAACAACGTAAATTCCGGCTTTGAGACATGAGTTCTAAGTCTCCGTTTTTACAGTACAACTACTGCCCCACCCTTTAAACCGAAAGGCATTACTGCTTCACAGCAGAAATAGGCAGGGTGGTGGTACCTACCCGTGCGGACTCACAATACGCCATACCACCAGTATTAGTGCTTATATTATATAACACTTACTTTAAAAAGTGGTGGAAACTCTGCACACTGCACGGCGACCATCTGAACCCCTTCTCAGTGTGTCTCAAATCAGACATGATGAAGCCGTCTTCCCATCGGCACTTCTCGGCGCCTGGACCACCGAGATACGAAGGTGGAGGACTGCCGTCATGGACCGCTCCTAACCTGAACGCGGAAGCAGTATTGAAAATGGGCAAAGCAATTGAAAAGTGGGTAGTTTTATTTTTATGACACGTGATTACAATAATGCTCTATAATCGGTATTACTTTATTGGCAATAACAGATTTTAATGAAACAGATAATAGTTTTGTCATTAGAGAAAAAAAGGTTCGAATTTTAGCAATTAATAATCGAGAAGTTTGAATTGTAATTTGAATTTAACGTAAATCTTCCACAATTTTAGGACAAGAATTCTTAAGTTTCTTGTATGGCCTTGAGAAGTACTTTGTACTTACAAATGTCCAACTTCGTGAGCAGCCACGATGATACCAGAAAAACCACCAGTGTCTTCGATGATGGCTACTGAATTGACCTTTTCTAATCTCTTGTTCACAACGCAAGCTCCTCCCACGTAAGCAAAACCTAAACATTAAATATTAAATGAAGCTTCGAATATGAATATTATTTTATCATTCATGCGATGAAGTCAATAATACTAGAATAGTTGGTACCTAATACTATTTAATTAAAAGGGTTTACAAATTAGATTTTTTTTGTAGATAAATCTTGCGGTCCACGTCATAGGCGTAAGCGAATACAGGAGCCTTTATCGCCACGTGATTACTGCTGCCCATATTGAGACATTAGGCCGAAGTCAAAAGATCCAGCGGTAAACAACTGTTTAAAATGAAACAAGTGATGATCTTTAAAAGAATTAGTCAAAATGTGGATACCAACACGGGCTAGCGACACACTCATTTATCGGTAGAAAACATCGCTTAATTTGGTACAACGTGTTCATTTTCCGCAGAACTTCTAAGAAGATTCTGAGATAGTCATGACAGACCATGCCATTAAGGCATTATTCTAAGCAAGCATGGACTTTTCTTCTATAAATGTATTGTAATTTTTATAAAAGTGTAATAAAACATTGACGTATGTAACCAAAACAGACCTCCTTACCGTCAATCACAAAAACGCTATAACCTAAGTCTTATACCAGAAATTCTTATGAAACACAAGTGGATATGACTTTATGATTGACAATGAAATTCCAGAGGGAGACAGAGAAGTAATGAAATCTACCCACAGATGACGTTTACAATTTACAATTAGAAACATGAATTGATTAGTGTTATTAATTACCTTACATATTCTGATGGTTTTTTAACTAAAACTTTTATTACAAGCTAATATTCTTGGTTGTTAGATAGAAACATGCATCTATAGTAAAAAAATAAACCAGTGGTACTTAGAAAATATTTATAAAGTATAATAAACAATACTCACATTACTTTGTACACAGGCATATTCTTTTGTAATCATTAAACATGCAAAGCAAGCTTTGTGTTAGTAAGCAAACAAATGCTACCATGTTGTTAGAGAAAAATAGATTTACAATACATTAATGCATATATTATATTGAATTGAAAGATTATAGTATATTATATTATTTACATTAAACAGGGTTTAAGTATTGGAAATTCCCGAATGATGGCAGGTACAAGTGTTGGTGATTTTTAATAAGTAATAAAACCGATCGGAAATTTTGTTTGTTTGTTTTATACGCAATTTAACAAAAATGTATAATGTATCGTCCTGTTTTCGAAATTCGACCATAATGACTCATATCTCACGGTTTATGTTCGTTTTATCCGTTGCTATTTCTCATTTTTGTTTTTATTGTCACTTTTAAAGGTAGAAAAAGTCGTTTGTGCCAAAAAAATTGCTAACACTAAAGTCCGTCAGTTATGCTATCAAACAAAAAATCGAATTTAAACTGACGATAAAGAGATATTGAACAATTTTGTCTTAGTCCATAGATTGGAAGCCACTTTTACATTACATTGCATTTTCAAGAAATGCAAACTTTGTATGTATCTTTGTTTAGTAGTTGAAATTTGTTTTCTATTGACGTGAGATTATCAGATTAAGCAGTTTCGGCTTCCGTGATTGATAGTACACGGACAGTCTATGGCCGAGGCCCTTAGATGTAGGCAGTACCAAGCTGACGACGGCCCGTCTCGTATTCTGAGGAGTGAAGGTAGCCTAATATGCATTAGTTTACGTGATATCCTACTTCACGTATTATTTCACGAGTTCTGTCTCGGCGGGGATCGGATGCTTGGATAGTGGAGCGATGGGGTTGCTTAGCACATACCCACACCACAGTCCCAAAATTCAATCATAATAATCAATTAAATCCGATATTATTTGCAACACAATACAAAGACATTCTATTGACCTGTGCACAAGACCTTGATGTATGTGTTTCAATCCCTTTGCCTGTTCAAAATAAACAGAAAAAATGTTTTATATCTATTAAGTAATTCACTTTGGAATCATTACATAAAACTACGAAAGGTGATGGATGAAATATACTTCTACTTGTGTAAATAGTATGGGAATCATTTGCCTGCAAATTTACACAAAAGTAACATTTAATATTATTACACTTAAATCATAAATTTCGAGATTATTGATTGTCCATTAGTTTTGAGGCAAAGGTCACTTGCTTCATTAAGCTATAGCGACAAGACTTCTCAATTAATAACCCGCAGATAATAATTCGATAATAATATTGTTGCGAAAGTATGTACCCACAAAACTATATTTTTCATTAGTTTTATCGTGTCCTAAGTGATAGAATTATAGTCTTAAATGTGCACTCAGTAATTTTATGTATCGGAGATGTATTAATGACCTTTTGCACTGCGATCTTTCGCATCTCCGCCATTAAATTAATTTGAAATATCATATTACATATGTTATTTTTTGTTCATCGACCTGTGTTATTTATAATTAGATATATGTATACTAAAAGATAAAGAGTTGAACAATATATTTTTGGCATGTTTCTAAAGTATATGCAAATGAGATGCGGTTATAGCAACATGCTTTTTCCATGTTTACGTTTTGTTTTTGCAATGAAATCGTTGGATAGTAGAGCCCTGTGTGAAGAAAAACAAAAAACTAATCTACATACGTAAAAGTGAAAAATGAAGATATTTATTTACACAATGAAATAAGACAGGCAGACGTTTCTAGAAGGAAACAAATGATTGAAGAGACGAAATTATTCACAATGTGCGAATGAAGAATTTGGGACTGGATATAAGGAGATTCGTGTATAAAAAATAGTGAACATAGAAGTGAGGGACGATTGATGGAAAGTAAATAAAGGCGTGCTTTTGATAATGTGATGGTTTTATGAAACACGCCTACCTGCTGTCCCTCTATTGCAGGCATCGTTCGCGTATTGCCTTCTGCACATGTCAAGTCTGAAATATCACGCAAATAATACATGTTCAGTAAAACCCCTGCTGTATCAACGGTCACGTTCGCTGTGTTTCATTTACAAACACACGGACATTTAAACACCTAATTCGTATTCACGTAATATTCAGCGCCATTACCAAATCCTTTACCTCGTTTTATTAAAAAATAAAAGCACTTTTTTATCATTTCAAGCCTCTGTTAATGCTGAGCTAAAACCAAACGCTTTCCATTTTGCTTTAATTTTTTTTTTCTTAAAATATATTTTACCAGCGGTGCCTTTTGTACAGCGACCACCCTTGCGTCGTCGGCACATGTCGTACCTGTTGGTCAAATCAGTTTTCGTACCTTCAAATCAAATTATTTGACCTTCACCGATTAAACTCAGGTACTCTAAAATCTAATAATACAATAAACTCAATAATGGCGCTAAATTATTTAAAAATAGATACTTACGGCTCTTACCTGTTGCCTTGGGCGATTGAAAAAAAAAAAAGACAAAATATAAATTTGATTTCATTTCATACGTTTTTCATCTTTGAATAAAATTTAGTCAGCCTTTTCAAGATCATGGTCAAATAAAATAACAATAATACATGCGAAAATGTCTATCAGTTTGTTCTTGTTTATACTACAATGATTTAAATATACCTATTTTTCACCAAAAATGGATACTTAGTTTACAAAGTATAGTACAATTTTTTATTTGGGTATAACCGTAAAGAACACTTATTTGGTGATTCATATTATACCAGGACTTTATTTAAATTTAATAGTATACACAACCCAATTAGGATTCATCAATTTAAAAAAAAAAACACTAAATAGATTATTTAATATTTTCTAATTCATCTGACGGTGACCACTCAGGGACATCAGCAATTTCAAGGACGCAACTAAGCCGCTGATATTGACAACTCCTTAGTTTAATTTAACGAAGGCTATGTCCTAACGCTCGGCAGACGTCCTGAAGGGAACTTAATTCCAGAGCCGTTTTTGACAACTTCAAAGGCCTGGAAAAGGAGTTTTTAAGCACAGCGGCCCAGAAAGCGGGAATGAAATTTGCCAAGATGGCGGACGGTGCGATGGCTTAAAATGACGGCGTCATCTCAAACAATTCGTTAGAAAACTTGCACTTATGTACATAAACAGAACGATTCGTGTCTATATAGTTTTTATTTACTTGTATAGACTTACATAGCATACAAAACTATCTTTTTTTGTAATAAATAAGTTAGTAAAAAACTACGTAAGGCTTACGCATTTTGATTTAGGTTATTACGTAGGTACAATTTAAAGTGTCAAATACCTATATAAAATGACCCGGGATTTTATTGAAGTCTTTTCTATATTTTACCAGAATACAATTAATATAAATCGAATGAACAAACAAAAGTTTTTCAAGATTGATTTGCATTTTATCAAATCAATCTACAATGGAGGTATTGTTGACAGCTAAATTCATTTTTTTTTTAATATTTATTAGCCGGATACAAAGTCCATTGGCCATTTTTATTTATGTTTCTTAGGTGTTACCATGTCAAAACTTCTTTAGAGTCAGTTCTTTTCAGAAAACATAATAATAATGCTTTTATTTCTAAAAACTTACTTGGTGATCGCAACGGCAATATCGTAGACGGGCAGCCGCCTCTCTCTGAACAGATACTTGCCCATGTCGGTCAGAGCTGCAGCAGAGTCGATGGCATCCCGACCTACTCTGTTCCTCTCGAGGTAAGGTGTGGCATCCCGACCCTGACAAGATTAAGACCTTGGTAATTCAATCACATGATCATGACAAATAATTGATATTAATCTGTATTTATGTTAAAAAAAAGCGCCTAGAGTAAAAGATACACATGAACATAAAATTGCATTGATGAGAGTTCATCCGAAATAATGGTTTTTAAAGAATGTATTTAATGGTTTTTTGTAATGAAATGCCCAATAAGACAGTAACATAAATTAGTCAGTGCCAATAATTTAGTGACACCTGGCTATAAATAATTACGTAAGCCCGCGATTTTTGTACAAATATCAAAATGACAGCAAAATATGTTTTAATGTGTTTAAAAGCTTGTTTTACGACAAAACCAATAAGGTGATTGTAAAAAAAAATTTGGAAGTATGAAATTCCATTAATTCAAGTTTGATATTAAATCTGATCTTTTACAGAAATATGTAGTAGGTATGATAATTAGATATTATTCTTTATTAAACAAACGATTATCTGTAGGTACCTACATAAACGTGCGCTGCCTGCACTTCAAAAAGTAGTAAATTTCGTTTCTTCATAAAATTGTATGATCAGAAAAAAAAAACGAAATCAATTTTAGCCAAATCGATTTGATAATTTTGGTGTTCCGATCTGAATATTTTTAAGTCTACGATAAGCAATCGTAAGTTCAAGGATGCCGAGTGCTAATTAAGCTAAGGAAACGTTTCAAGTCACGTGTTTGCGGAATAAAGTTCAACCTACCTACCTACCAAAATTTTTCGTAACTTTCTCAACCTTGAGACAAACATTTTAATAGACTTCTTCAATATCCCAAGTTGACAACGGAAACTAGTTTTGAACGGCCATATCTCATGCTTTGTTTTCATTGAAACCTGTGATTTTCGTAGAAAAAAAAGCCGCCATTCGTCTTATTTATAATGCAGGTGTTTTTAATTTATACAAATAGATTCCGTATTTTGTACGATCTCGAACGTACTTTTCTTCACAAAATGTGTACATTTAAACTTAATAAATGTTAATGTGGTAATAAAACGTAATCAATCTAATGTTACGACATATTGAATTAATACTTATTAATCTTAGAAATATAGATGAAAACATTAATGGCTATTTATAATAATAATGTTCTTTTATTAGTGTTTATTCTCTAATAATATCTTCCGGCAACATTCATTATTTCCACAAGTATTGAGCCAACGTAATGATCTTCTTTCAACTATTGAAAATGGGCACTAGAGTTTATCTACCATAATCTACCATACCGTATCTACCATACAATATTTTTGTCTAAGTATAGTGGTGAAACTGCTGTAGGTATTATTTAAAGCTATCATCACTACCTATTTTAAGATTTAAATTACATAATCAAGAAGCACAACATGGACAGTATTAATGCTACAACAAATGGCAGAAAGCAGTGGTAGTTACTTGAGAACGGAGCCAAGCATAATATTTCAAGTTGTATAGATAAACCTATACTAAAATTTTAGAATGTGAATGAAAAACTAAATTATATACCTAATATACCTAAATTATTTGTATAATTAAACTTATTTACATGTATAAAATGTTTTTTTTTATAAAGTAGGTAATAAAAATAGTTACTAGGCTGTATAAACGGTAAACCTTGACTCAGTACATCTCGTAAAAGCAATTTGGCGCCAAACCAAATAAAGAGGAATATTTTTCGCTTAAAGAATTTTCAAACTGCGACAAAAATGGCAAGTGAGGCTGTATTGAAGTATTTAGAAGACACGAATCGTCCATATTCGTGTGCTGATGTGACAGTGAATTTACGTGGAGCGTACACCAAGACCGCTGTACAAAAAGCGTTGGATGGACTTGCTGAATCGGGTAAAATCAAATGCAAATTGTACGGAAAACAAAAGGTTTACGTTGCTTTACAACGCGATGTGGCAACTGGAGATTGCGAAATAGAAGGTATAGATTTGAAATATCTACTTCAATTTCGTAACGTAGAAGCTAAATAGAAATATTAGCAAAATGTACCTACATACACTACACGTAAAATACAAATAGTATAGAGTCAAGATTTATAATTTTTTTTTAATTTAATTTTTATTGGGTGGACGAGCTCACAGCCCACCTGGTGTTAAGTGGTTACTGGAGCCCATAGACATCTACAACGCAAATGCGCCACCCACCTTGAGGTATAAGTTCTAAGGTCTCAGTATAGTTACAACGGCTGCCCCGCCCTTCAAACCGAAACGCATTACTGCTTCACGGCTGAAATAGGCAGGGTGGTGGTACCTACCCGTGCGGACTCGCAAGAGGAGGACCTCTTGCCGGTGGTAGGAACCACCAGTAAAAATAATTATTAATAAATAAATATTGGTGAGCGAATGAGCTCACGTCCCACCTGGTGTTAAATGGTTACCGGAGTTCGTGTCCCATTTGATGTTATTGCTACGTAGAATTCGTTCATGAAGAGGAGTCAAGTACGTATTTCATTAGAAAAATTTGTAGACTCCTATCTGCCTTTGGGATATGAACGGAATGTGAGCACCGACATAATGGCATCGCTCGATATATACGGACCGAGCGTAATATCCTTTAGACTACGGTGACTAATAACACTAGCTAAAATTAAAGAATGCGAACTATCTCTAGGGCTATACAAGTCAAGCTCAAAATTAAACAGTAGCAGACCGCCTAAACATCACTACGTGGTTGCCGTCACCCACTTTGAGACAAGAAGTCTAAGTCTTCATTCAATCGGTACAAAATAGTTGGAGTCAGTTCCATTTTAATACGCTTTTATTAGCTTCAGACGTAGGTATGTATGTTACTATGTAGGTATGTTTGTAACGGAATCTTTGAACATGATTTTTACTCCCTTCAAAACGTCGGATTAAGTCGAAATTTAGTATACTTATTAAGAACCGATGACAATACAATATTAAAAAAAATCAAAAAATTGAAATTCAACTAAAAAATAAATAATAGTTTAAAAAAAATTAAAAAACACGCTTTTATAGAAATTCCCACTAAAAAAATAGAAAATAAGTGTTGTAAAAAACGTTTTTTTACAATAAAATCATTTTTTCTTACACTATTTTTAATTCAAATTTATTAAGATTTATTTATATTATTATTAAACGCACAAGCACTTTTTCTCTTATAAGTAAATATGTACAAATGTATTTGATATTTCATTTAAGAAAAAAACAGCGATATTCATATTTTAGATTTCGATGCGCAATTGAAACGTTTGACAGAAGATTTAGAGGAAAAAACGAAATCATTGAAAACAGCTGAAACTAATTTAAAAAATCTAACGTCTACACCTACCACCGATGACGCAAAGAAAAGTATCATAGAAATTTCTAGAAACATTGATGCTATGAGCAAGAAGCTGGAAGCCCTAAAGTCCTCCACGGAGGTCATCAGTGCCGATGAAAAGAAAATGATATTGAATGAGCATGAAAAACAATTGAAAGAATACAGGTAAACATATTTCGCTTACACTATACTAAATGCGGACCTGGCTTAGCCATATTACGTCCGTGCGTCGTCGTGGAAATAATCTACATGGAGGTGCAGTGGCGCCTTACTGCATAAAATTCTATAAAATACATACCAGTTTCATTATTTCTAAGCATTCCACCTATATATTATATGACACAACAAAATTACTACAATAAGGTGTTGATATAAAGTGGCCTAGAGTTCGAGCAATACGGGAATACGAAGGCGTAGCTGACATTTGCAAAAAATCCCTTTGGGAATTGCAATATTATCGTATAGTTCATAATACTACTGACTATTGACGAAGGCATTTAAAACCTAATCGCTCTATTATGGGTTTTGTAAGCTTAACTTTGACGTAGACAGAAATTATTAAGCAGCTATCAGGGCCCATAGACATTATAGACCCTCTCGAAGACCGTTTAATGCCTACCTCTAAGACTTAACGTCGAATACGTAAAAGGCACAAGGCGACACAATCACTATTAGCATAGCCAGCATGTTAATTTAGAGTCTTAACATCTTATATTTTCTGCAACTAATAATAAAGCTTTGAATTTTTCTAACAATTTTTACTTGCCAAAGTCCCCGAGAGTATTCTAAGCTTGACTAACGTCCGTATGTGGGAACGACAATTTGCAATCGTTTAGAAACTCGTCAAAATTCATTACAATTTATTGAAAAAACGACTTATATCCACATTAAATATGATTTTGCCTCAAAAGAAAACGCAAAAGGATCTGCAACGACATGCTAGAAGCGGTGCTAGAAGGCTATCCCAAGCCGAAGAAGACTCTGTTGGAAGAGCTTTGCATCGAAACCGACGAAATGGTTGACTTCAAACCGATGGCAGTTTCTTAATTTTAAACAAATAAATTTAAAACTGTGTCTTTTTATTTGTGATAGTACGCATTCTTAATAATTCTTAAAATTTAATTATTTTCCTAAATGTCTTAAGAGTTTAAAGTTAACTTTATGATGAGGGTATTTTGAAATATTTCCGTCACCATCCTGCCGTTTTATACCGTAAAGCAGTCATGCGCTCCTTTTGGAGGTTGGGACAGTTCTTATTTCACTGAGATTACACTAATATATTTCAGATTTAGACTCGAATGTTTTATGGTGGGTGGCGGCAATAATTTTGTGATGTCTGTATGTAGTCTCCACTGCTTAATACAAATAATGAAAGTGTGCTCCGCTTTCAATTTGAGGCTAAAATATTCTTTACGACAAGATTGCCTAATTTAATCCAAAACCATTGTTACACAATGTGCACTACAACTCATGATTGAAATAGTGTAATTTTTATTATGATTAATAAAAATAATTTACTCACCCTTGAAATGATGATACCAGCTATGGATATCCTTATCCTTGGCCCCTTCAGCAGTTTGTACCTCAAATCGACTCCGTTCCAAAACGATACGAAATAACGTTTGATCTGCACGTTGTCGCCGCCATGTAACCTGAGAAGCGACGCATTCTATTACTAGATATTCTCAGTACATTGCTGGGAGAAACCAACGACTAAATGACGCTCGTCTCGGTACATATATTGATACTAAAGCTTAGCTTTGGGATTCTTTTGTAGTACACCATAAAAAAAGGCAAAAAAATCGGTTTTTCTCAGTGAGTCGCGATTCGATGGTAGATTCGGCGAAGCACTGCTCTTACTAGGGCTATTGTTAGCAAATTCTCTTAGCTTGAGCCAGTGACTTCACCTACCCATTCGGGTGTACTGGAATGACCCCTTACCGGCGTTTAGGAATAGAAAAATAAAATAAAAAAGTCATTTGCATTATTTGCGTATACAGACAAATATAATTGACAGGTAATTTTTACCCTGCCGCCATTTATAGATTACTAGAACGCATTTAATTCTCCACGATTGCATGTTCAAGAAAACATGAATCACGTTGGTCCATCAGTGATCTTGACTGCTGGAGCCAGTACATTTGTTAGGTCAAAGTCATGCTTTGAGTCCTCAGGTTAGAGTTCCCTGAGCTCACCTACTCGCTCGGTGACGCTGGCATAGAAATAAAAAATAAAATGTATGTTTCCCGAACCGTGGAATATTTGACTAGGGCAACAAATTATGTGGCATCAAGTCGTATGCTACATTTAATTAAATATTTAAGATTTATGTTTTCTCTGCATTTTTGTTGTCTCCTTTGGGGCGGCGTTAACTCAAAAAGGCGGTACCTACTCAAATTATTGATGATGCGTAATACATAAATTGCGAATCGGTTAACATCTTTGGTAGACATTCACATACATAAACTCGAATACAAAATATTGGCAAACATCCAACAACACAACGTTGAAACATCATTATGTTGCCACAGCCCCCTTTGAGACGCGATGGTACTCTCAATCGCAGTTTTATAGTATGTGCCATATTTATGAATGTTTCGCGGCATAAATAGATGAAATATATTTAATATGAATTTTTTTTTATTCCGAAGATAATATAATTATAATATGATGATATTTTACACATATTATACTTACGCATATTGTCGTATTAAAATGCTTATATTATGGTACAACGATTTATAAAAGTAATTTTAATTTTAGTCTAATAACATATGGTTAGAATAGATTTCATATCTCTATCGCCCAGAGAGCGGTATCCGCGTTGTTTTACCTGAGGCCTGCAGTAACATAAGACTTACTAACACAACTACTTAATTACTGTGTTATATAACTCATTTACTATACATTTCATTTTATAGAAACTAAAAAGTTCTAATACATAAAGTCATCATGTGCTCACCTGTACCCATCATAATCAACAATGACCAATATCTCGGGGTATATAACATAAGGCGCCTCGCGTTTCTGTCGATTATGGGCCTCTGCCGATCTTTTCCGCCTGTATCTCTTGCCAATGTGGTCAGGCTCCATGAATGCTGGGGAAGAAAAATATATTTTATTTTACAATTTTCAAAAGGAACCATTATTTTTCTCTGTAGCTCTCTCTTTCTCTCTCTCTCTCACACACACATACACACATACAATCACACACAAACACACACACATTTGTTAGACTTCTGCTTATCCGGCAGGATATCTATTTTACACTAAAGCGAGCGTTAATAATGCACTTCAAGATTCTGATAGTCTACAGGTAGCTGATACTCGTGATAGGGCATGGTTTGATTGAATATATAGTACGCAGTGTACAGTATTCATAATTAAATTAAGAGTTTAAGCAGTAATGATAAGTTCAATGGCCTCGAATAACAAAAATAGTCTAGAGATACCCTAAACAATCCACCGTTATTCTTCTTCTTGCTTCGGTTTCCTCAATACTGAGGGTCGTGACCGCCTCCTCGCAACAGGAGTTTATTACGGACCATTCCACGCCATTTGCCTCTATCTGCCGCCGAGTGTAGAGCATCGTTATTAATCGATGTTAAAGTTCATTTAATTTTTTTATCATACATATGGTACCTGTACTTCGTCTGGGTGTTAAATTTATGGTGCCATTGACCCCTTTGACTGTATAATTACAGAAAAGAAAGAGGCAAACATAACCTTAATTATAGGATTACATAAAAATAAAAAGTTCCCTTGGTCGATTAATTTTTAATCAATACTCAAATACCTAACCTGAAAACGGAATTTATGATGAATTAAGTTTTATTAACGTATTTTCACACAAATGAGGCAATTAAAATGAAAACCGCCTCTTTGTTGTAACTTGTTTGTCGTGTTTATTCAACAATTATTATTATTTTTTTTTCTGCCCTGGTGACAGAGACCTTTAGGTCATATCTTATTTGGAAAATGTTCATTAGTTTGGGTCAACAAAATTCTATCATTATTTACATCTACCTTACCTTATCTTGGCCATTATTTGGATCGTTTCACTGCACCTTATGTCAACCTCTTTTTATAATGACATAAATTATATGTAATCTATTTTAAGCATTTATACATCTTAATCATTTTGCGATCTATCCGTTTTTTGTTTCGATTTACATATATTCAAACTTCGCGTTCGCTTTTTGATTGGTTTTATAGCTGGTTTTTATTAGCTTTTTTCGTTATATGACGAAATCATGTTCAACTTCAATTTCTCAATTTATTAATCGCGGGAGGCGATTCCCAAGTCTTATGTTATTATACATATTTGATCCGTATATTAACCAACCTAAGTGCATATGCCCATTCGGCTCGCTAAGTATTTTCCGACAAACTCTGTCTTAACGAGAAAAAGGACGCAATGATGATGAATCCTAATTCCATAGCTTAGACGGTAACTGCATTGTGTAGAATCATACCAACCCGAAAATATTTTAAACGCCTATGTATATCGTCAGAGAAACTAAATCAAATGTTTTGTAATTGAAATGGTGTCATAGCATCATAGAGAATTATCTTTGGAAGGCGATTTTATTATTTTAATTGTCTATGTGGCTATTAAGATTCTCCCAGCCAGTCTTTAGTGAAAGTATCTTCAACTTATTTGTCTACTTTTACGGTAATTAATTAATTAAGTAATTTTACTATTCTATTTATTAGTGGTGGTATTATTCCATTATAAGGGGCAGCCAAATTTATAAATAAATTTTGACGATGGCATTTTTGTTTTGGTGTGTCTACCTTTATAGGCTACACGCTCGAAAACTGCTTAAGTGTGTAAATAATAATTTAAGAAAACAAGTCTCTGGTTATTTTATTCTCAAAAATCTCGATATTTCTTCTTGTCACTTGTAATACAACTTATGTAGACAACTTAAAATGCAAAAACAAAAGCGATCACTACTATTGCGAAGTGTATTTTAGTTTTTCTACATCGCGAAAAACTAATTTAAAATGTAAATTTCATTATTCGCACAAAACGTTTAGATAATCAACATAACGAATGATATATGAACAATAAATTAGAGCCATCTTCATATTTTATTGTGCTATAACTTTTAATAATAGAAACATGTTTTTTTTAAAATTCTTTCAAGACTAAGTCTATGATGCTTAGCGGTGTCATCTCATGTACGTACATACTATATTATGAACTACAGTTAAGGAATATCATCATTTTAAGCGATATTTCCTTTTTTATTGCTTAGATGGATGGACGAGCTCACAGCCCACCTGATGTTAAGTGGTTACTGGAGCCCATGGACGTCTACGATCTAAATGCCCTACCCCCTTGAGATATAAGTTCTAATGTCTCAATTATAGTTACAACAGCTGCCCCACCCTTCAAACCGAAACGCATTACTGCTTCACGGCAGAAATAGGCATGGTGGTGGTACCACCAGTAGATGTATCACTAGTAGTTCAAAAACTAATCCAAACCAACGCTATAAACTTTTAAGCGTAATGAAGTATGCAAAAACAAGCTAAAGTCTATAAGTAATTGTAATTATTTAGAAGTTAATCCCATTTATTAATTATCACAAAAAACAAAAACATTGCTAATACATATTTTCAATCCATAATAATAATATTACTGATCAAAAGGACAAAGGAGAGGCGCATTCAATAAAGCTCACATGGCAAATTAAAATCTATTTTTACAAGTTGTAAAACTTAATTACAATTCTAGGTTGTTATGATTCACGAAGCCATAAAAAAAATACAATAACTTTACCACAGCTGTGTGTGTGTGGCGTCATAATTTCGTTTTATTTTTAATCGTCAGTACGGACAACAAATCTTCAATCAGTAAATAACGTAGCAAAACTTCTCAATGGAGTAGTTGTAAAATTGTAATTGATAAAACGCTTCGTGCTTTGTACCGAAAAATAATTGTTTTATTCAAATCTAAAAATATTCACACCTATAAAATACTAAATTATGGAGTTGAGTAGAATAAAAACTTATGATACCTACACATTGGACAAGTTTAGTCTAAAAAAACCATGAAATTGTACGAAATACTCGAGTTTAGTTTTAATTCGCTGCCATATGACATTTCACGTTAATTTATGAACCCAATATCTATCGTTAAGATATTTAGTTTCATTATGTACGTAAACACAAATTATTATATACCCAGTCCAGCCATAAGTTCTTACAAATGAAAATGCAATTTTTTAATGAAGTAGTGTAATATTATTAAAATTTATACCTACATATTTATTAAAGTCTCACCAAAAAAAAATTCAAAATGGCCACCTTTGGCATACAGGCCTTTAATCTGTTTGGCCACGAATCAATGAAATTACGCACTGGTGTTTGCGCTTGCACTTTGTGCAATCCTATTTTCTATAACACCCCATTCCATATTGTAATTTGCTAATGAACAGGAAAAAATATGTGAAATGACGCAAAATTGAAAAGAAGTTTTTAAAATAATATACATGTTCCAAATTCAAAATAATTAAAAAGTTGAAAAAAAGAAAAGTTTTTATATAACAAACAGTATTTATGGCCAGACTAGTTACTTAAATAGCTAGATTCTTCAATTACCTAATCTTGGCATGAGATCCAGAAAGTCAGATATTCATGACTTCAACTTATCTAAAATAAAATATATGCGACTAAGTATTTTATGTTAATGTAAAATAATTGATGTTTACAAAGTACCTACAGCCTATATATAGGTCGTCGATACCAAAAAAATAAACCCAAAAGTCGTGCAGGATTCGCACGGCAAATATATATAACACAGATATTTTATCATGACATTTTACGAGACCAAATATACAATTAAAAAAGCAAACAGACCGAAGCCTTCCCAACTAAAATCCGCAAAACCAGTACGAAATCGTCCATATGCCGGTTTTCCCCACCACTGAATTATAGTCATATATGTATATAGTTATATCACGGAATTAACAATTTAGATATTTTTAATATTATAAAATGACGTAAGTATAACGTTTGACCTCATGACCCCGTCATTAAGATGTGACGATGTCGTCTTGATTAGAATATTCGTGTAGCAGATACAAAAAAAAATACCAGTTTCCGAACGTGTACCTATTCGTAATATTGAATATTCGAATAGCTAAATTTTTAAATATCATAGTCCAAAAGTTTTAAGATTTAAAAAAAAAAACGTAACCTTTTGTTCATAACTCTACGTAATTTTAGAAGTATTCCTTATAACGATAAAATTACTTTGTGTACCTAATTCTATTTAAATCAATTAGATTATTCCTTTCTCTTCTATTTAATTTTTTGCATTAAAAAGAAATAATTTTTTGCATTAAAAATAAATGTCTTAGGAACGGAATTTGCACTAAATTTTAAAACCAAATGTCTGTACCGTCGATATCTTTAACTAAGGAAAGAAAATCAACTTATTCAATTTGAATTATATCCGTGACTCCGGCGCTACCAAAATCGCCGAAATATCGAGACCTCATTAAAAACTAAAGAAAAAAACGTGGCAAGAACCCGTTAAATAATATTTAAACTATTTATTATATTTAAATTAATTTTGAATCTATTTAATGTTTTTAAACGCAATATTTGAATTGCATTTTAAAACGGTTATTATGATAATGTATGATTATTGAGATTCAAATTTGACAATAATACGAAATCAATTGAGTCGATGGATAATCGATTGTGTTTTGGTAAGTAAGCAAACTGTGAATAATTACCTATGTGAAGACAAATACAATATTATGTGTTCTATATACATACATTATATACTTCTGTTTGGTTACGGAATCACATCGCTATTACGATATAACAATACGCGATACATGTAGTTGAGTGGTATCGGAGCTCATAGACATCAATACGTGAACACCGCCATCCATGTTGAGACCTGAGGTCAGAACCTTAGCAGTATTTATTAACGGCTGTCCCCCATATTTCTGCCTCAAAGCATTATTGCGCTTTAGCAAGGCGGCCATTATTACGATCCAATTGAGATTTCGACCACAATCTTTAAACGAGTAGCGATATTCACGCACTCCACAAGTTTCAGTAACTAGCTTAT